AAAAAAAAAAAAAAAAAGAAAATAAAAAGAAATAAAACAATTCTTTTATCATTGAGAAAACTTCAGTTTTATCGCATTAAATATTTGCATTAATTCTTTGGGTAAAGATTTGTTCAAAAATTATTTTGAAATATTATAATAATTTAAATTTTAACCCTTTGCACTTTGCACGACTTTCGACGCTGGTTAGCAGCAACTTTGCGCGACTTCGCGGCAAAAACGGCACATTTACAGACCCTCGTATTATTTCGTATAACTTTGGAACCAAGTAACAGATTCTAATGATATTGAACTTATATTAATCTGTAGACATCAAGGAACATATTTACCTAAAGAACTTTTATCAAAAGAACTTATTTACCAAGAGAATGTATGTGTGTAATAGCGTTGCAATTGAACAAAAAGCGAACACGTTCCCCATTGTATTTGAAATGTGTTACTATTTGATAATATTTCTTTGTACATTATAAATCTCACTATAAAAATGCGAGATATGTTTCTATAAAAACCTTTCTTCTACAAATTCTTCTTATCGTTCTTCTCAAGTTTCGCCAAAAAGTTTTCGGACCGTCGTAAGTACGCGTCTCGTATTCTCTTAGAACACAAAACCCGTTGACATTTTTTTTCATATATCTTTGTTATTTGATTATATTTTGATTCGATGTCTTGTGCTATTTTAAGAGAATACATCAGGTAAACATGCATGTCTGCAAAAAGTTGTGCTGAAATAATTTCATTCCTCGTAATCACTAATAAACTTTGATGTCTCATACGGTGAGACAACCGAGTGCAAAGGGTTAATATTACATATATAATAATATTAAAATTACTTATATATTACTTTGAAATAAACCAGAGAATGAACTAATTAATCCTCGTCTCAGTTTCAATGACGTATCAGAACGTCATGTGAATCTTTACCTAAACAAATACATGACGTACTAATACGTCAAATGTAACCAAAGGGTTAAGAATTCAAATATTTTATAATTGATTGTAAGTATGACCAAAAAAAAAACCAATCATTTTATCATTGAGAAAATAGTCGATTACTTTTTGAGTAAATGTTAATGTCTTTGATCAATTGCTAGAAAATGTTTAGTCATGTTAATGTAATTTTTGAAACTTTCAGTCTCTATATGTCTTTCTTTTTTTTCTCTAACTCTCTCTCTGTTTCATTTATGTTATTTTCCTCCCTATTGAAACCTCCTCACAACAACGTGACTTGTGATATACGTAATTACGCTTTACAATGTAGGAAACGGAATTTCTCGATTTAGCCTCTCACGTTCTAACGTGTTATATATATTTACCTAATTTCTCTTACTATCCTTTGTTAAATTCACTCTCTCTCTCTCTGACTGTCTCATTCCTTTCTCTTTCTTTTTTAAAAATAATAACTGTTATTAATTGGCATTAGGAACTCGAAAGTTCATTAGCCGCAAATACCAAATCCCGCCAGTGTTCTCAGTCCCTGAGCTTGACCCCGTCCATTCGCGGCCTTCGTAGCCCATTTTCTTTAAGATCCCGAAATAATATTGTCCTCCCATCTACGTCTCGGTCTACCCAGTGGTCTTTTCCCGTTCGGTATATCGATCAGTATTTTATGCACCGTTCGATCCACCCCCATGCACCCCACGTGACCTGCCCATCTTACGACGTTAATGATGTTCGGTTTTGTTGTACAATCGGTGTACTTCTACGTTATCGGGGGTTTTTCTCCATTCATCCGTTTCCTCATCGCGTTTTGCACCGAACATTTTACGAAACAACTTTATTTTCGAAAAGCCCTCAATTTCTGTTGGGCCCGTAACGTAAGTGACACCACGTTTCGATACCATAAAGGACTACTGGTAGGATGATTGTCCTGTATATCCTAATTTTGAAGCACCTAGACAGCAACCTGAGTAATTTATTGACATTGGCTAAATTGATTCTTTTCTTAAATTCTTCGTTTATTTCATTCCTCTGGTTTATGATTGATCCTAAATATATACCTAAAGTTATTGACCCCTTCCCATAATTTTATTCCGGACGACCAAAGTTCTTCCAGTATTAGGCACATTCTGAATTCTAGTAGAAAAATAATAATAATAATAAAAAATACAGAAGAAAAAGCAGCATGCTGCGAAAGTGTTGGATGTAGTATAAAATAGAAAGAGAAAGGGGTGAGTGGGATGGTGGAGAGTAAGAGCGAGTTTATGGTCGAGTTTAACACGACACCACCGTGGCCAACACTACTAGCCATATGTTTTCTTTTTTTCCGTATATTCAAGGCAATGTTACGCGTCGTTTATCCACCTCCCACTTCATTCCACCACCCCTCTACTGTCGGATAAATTAGATAATTTATCTGTGATTTTTCGCCAAACTACCTCGCTCGTT